CAAGTCTGAGGACCACTGATTTACTGCAGGAATCCTCTAACACACCCTGGCCTAGAGGTTTAACTTGTTTTATCCCTGTTTGGTAACATTAGTTACCTGGGGCATTATTAGTCTCTGGGGCAGCCCAATCTACTGCTGAGACTTGCATCCTTGAATTCCTTAATGTGAAATCTGCTTTAGGGTAGGTTCTACCTGTGGTGCTGGTTCTTTCCACTGGAATGACCCAGAGTAAATCCAAGTCACATTCCACACTTCAAAGATTTTAATATAATGTTCTAGGACTTCTTGTTTAACATAACATATGGCCAATAGTTCCCAAAGGAGCCTTTCCAAAATTTACATTAAAATACCTAGGAAGATACAGAAAAGGTGACAACTCACATTACCACCCAAAACTGAGACTAAGGGAGTAGAAGTGTAGGAGAAAATTTTTGTGAAAACTTATATTTTCTTGGAGGGAAGACTGTTCTAAGTTTGGCATTAAAGGCAGAAATTATAAAGATGTATAGATTTGACTAATAAAATTATAGATAACTTCAATATATTTTTTAAAGGTTAGGAGATGACAAACTAGGAAAAACTTTGGTTATATAAATAATGTTAGACATTGTTTCATCATTAAGCACCATATACTTAATGTATAGCACAGGGTCTGACACATAGTAGGCCCTGAAAACATTTGATTATTGTATGAATAAAGATGGATTAAGAAAATGACCATATAAAAACGAACATTAAAATATCCATTAGAAAAAAGGGTCAAGGTCATGTTTATGCATTTGACAAAGATAAAACAAAAATTTGAAAAATTGTTCCACCTCACTAGTAAAAAAAATGCAAATTAAATTTGCACCTATCAAATAGGTAAGTTTAACAATGTTGGTGAACATCTGGGGAGATAGGCTTTTTATAGATGCTGATGTGACGGTTAATTTGTACAATCTTTCAAGAGGGCAATTGGGCAATATGTAAAATGATGCATGCTGTTCAATCCAGTACAAAGCTGGGCACATTATCCTAAGGAAACATTCATGAATGTGCACAATGATTTGGCAATGAGGATACTGACTGCAGCTTCATTTATAATAGTAAACACTTGGAATAAATATCCAAAAAGGGAAGATACACAGTGGAATATGATACTGCCATTAAAATGATATTATGCAAAGATTTGTAGTGCTATGGAAAGATTACTCCCCCTTGAGTATGGTCAAGCGATAAACAGGTTACAAAATGGGATACCTAACACAATGACCAAGAAATGGCCAAGCAACAAAGCTCTCATGGTCCCTTTAAGTCTTTCTTCTCAGGTGGAACATTCTAAATTCCTTGAATCATTTGTCCTTGAAAGTTGAGCAAATTTTCTGAACCCAAAGAGTGGCCCAGGCATGTAGGAAGTCTAGGGGACCATCCTGGAGAATATTTATGGGACATAGGTTCTAATCTCCATACTTTCTTGATTGGTCTCTGTTGAATGTGCTCTGCTCTGGCAATGCCCCCTTTAAAGCATGGGTCTAGCCAGCAATTTTTCGTGTTTACATGGATACCATGAAGACAATAAACAATACTACCGAGTTAACAGAAGTTCAGGGCTTGGTGAGCAATGCCACGTGATCGGAGCCTGTTTGGAGTAGATGAGGGAATCTGGGGTGAGTAGCAGATGAAATGGAAAGTAGCACTTTTTAAATCAAGCTAAGGATTTTGGGCTTTCCCCTACTTTTTGCTAGTCTGAAGCTGAGGAATGGCATGCTGAGATCCGTGTTTTCGAAAGAGCACTGCTATCTATTAGAAGCAGGGGTATGGTTTAAGCAAAGGATACCATATGCTTAGCGAACTTTAAAAATTTTAGGATCAGATGTGTTGCTGGTTGGCTATTTAAGTGGTTTCTTTTGGCACTTTGTCTTTTATGTTGGTCCAGGGATTTCCTGGTGGGCTCCAAGGAACAATGGGACTATGAGTCCACCCCAGGCAGAAAGAGGAGGACAGGTGATAGCAGAGGGTCTCCTGCTGTCATACCACTCATGTGTTCCCTGATCTGGGGCTTGGACAGCTCTGAGTGTGGGCACTAATCCAGGGGCAGGGCAGTAGCTCTGGGCTCTGGGCTCCCCCAGCCCCTGCTCTGTGGTGGGGGCTGGAGGCACTCAGTCCTTTCAGCAGCCTCAGAGGCTCTGTTGGTGGGCTGTGTCTGCATCTGTAGGACTGGGGTGGATTAACTGGGGGGTAGGACAGAAGAGACAGGAACCGAGAAGGAAGAATTGCCAGGTTTCTGTGAGGCCAACATGTGTTTGAAGCAATTCAGAATGTAACTTAGAATGTAATTAGGTGATTTTTGTTTTTGTTTTGTTTTAGAGGAAAAATTCAGAACCTGTGACTCTTGTTCATGGGTATAAGCCTGGATGTAGTCATTTTAAGTTTATGGAAAATGTGGTCAGCCCCATAAATCAGTGCTAAAGAATTCTTACAGAGTCATCACCATGCAAGCAACTTAGGTCTGTAGTGAGTCTCCTAAGGTTATGCAAAACAAGACAGAATAAGCCTGTAGACAAATCTACAATACAGTCCTCCCCTCCCCTGGAATTCTTTCCTGAATAGCCACAAGGCAGCTCTGAATTCTGGCTCCTACTCCAACTGTGACCTTTATTACACAGATTTGCATGTACATCAAGATGTCTGTGGTCGTTGCCATGACTACAAGAGCACAATTCTCTGCATCTATTTCTCTCAAGTATTTTTACAGTTTTAGCAGGACTTCTATAAAGAAAGCCCATTTAAAAGTAAACTGGACAATCATAATTTGTGACAATGCTGAGAATATGTTCAAGTATATCCTAATTCTTTGACTTCCTGTACCTCATATCTATTATTTTGCGTGACTGGAGAATGAAAGTTCAGGTGGTACTGTGTTTTACAAAAGCATATGGAGCATCTTCAAATGTGAACACAAACTTTCATTCAGAATTGGTAAATAAGAGGTTTAATTTATGCATGATTCATCAACGGGAATTCCATCAGTTTTGCTCCATTGTTCTTGGATTTATACAATCAGTCTTTTGCCTCCAAACAGAGTTGGTTCTTACATCTTATAAATGATAGTATTTCCTTCTACCCTTTCTCTTTCCTATACCCTCCCACTTTTTAGGTTGACCCAGTTTTTGGATTTATTTCTGCCAAACTTGTCAGTGGAGAATGGAATGTTAACATATTTTACTGGAGATGTTTTTCAGTTGCTCTGAAAAAAAATGGGATTGTTCACTGTACCAGCATGTTCTGTCACAAGAAGTGGTACTGCCAAACTCTAGTTTAGTCTCTTATTATGTTTTTTTCTTAATCTGTTAGATGAGTCTCATGAATGCTAAAAAAAACTTCATTTTTCACAGAAACCAGATGTATAATTTCTAAGACCAAACACCTCTCCAAGTACGAACTTTCTGACTATGCTCATTTCTGTTAACTGTAGAGTTTTTACTTTAGAATATGCTCTATCAACTTTTTTCTTGTTGACTTAAGTTCTTGTTGACTCAGAGACATAAGTTCAAATTCCATATGCCGTGAGGTCAAGTAAGTCCACCCAGCAATTATATAACCTGGTTTCATATCATACTCGCCTACTGTCTCTGCCACAACTTGAGCAGGAACAGCTAACTGGGCAGTAGCTTACATAAGCTATGAAACTTTAGACCAAATCCCCTCAGTCACAAACCACCCATCATTACCAGTTGCAAAGGGAGAGGGGTGGTGGGGACTGTCCACCAGGCTATGCTGTAGTGTTTACCATCATACTATGTTGGAGAGTGGGCAGGGTAAAGATGTGGTATATCCAATACACACCAAATGCAATATGGCTTGAATATTTGCATCAGCAATCCATAGAGAGTAGTAAAGCATTAAGGAAGTAATCAAAACAACATTTGACATTGACTGAGAGTTATGTGTTCAACATTGGGCCGAATGCTTTGCAAACATTACCTTTTCCAATCAGCTATGCTAAGAAGCAGTTATTGTCATCTATCTTAATAGATGAAGTTCAGAGAGGTTAGGTGATTTGCCTGGAGTTTACCAGCCAGGAAGGAAGAGAGGTTCAAAGCCATCTGCTTGATTTGAAAGGAGTTCTAAATTAGACACCTTCATTTTGGCCTGATTACCAAGGAAGTGGATGCAAGATGCAGGTTGTTGGTAGCTGAGGAAGAATTTGGTCCCAAGCTTTGCCCTGCAAAACTTGCAGAAGAGAGACTAGCTCTGACAAGAAGAAACAGCGATGGCATGACTCCAGCAGAACTGAGGTTGTCTCCAGCGTTGTTACTGTCTGAACCAGAACAAGTTACTCAACTTCTCTTGTCCTTTGTTCCCTCATTTACAAAATAAAGGCATGGGCTAGATGGTTTCTAAGGTCTCTGCTGGCTCCACCTTTGATAACTCCCCTTGGTTGGAAACACTCCAAGCTTGGCCCTGACAGTCCCTGACAAAATCCTCACTCAGAGCATAAGATCCTCCTATGGTCCTGGACCAGCTGGGCCCCACACCTGCTGGAAGATGGTAGGAGTCTTCTGTGGTCCTTATTCCCGTACCCCAACCTTGTGGCACTGGCACCCTGGTCCTGACCAGCGTGGCCGAGCACCCGTAGGCCCCCTCCAGCAACTTCCCAAAGTATGAGCCAGCCCCCCTTTGTCACCCACTGTATCTATACATTAAAAAACTCAAGTTCTCAAAAGTTAAACCCAACATATTTCTGTCAAAATCACTTTCAGAAAATCAAATAAATCAAACTCAAGTTCTTGTATCAACCAGAATTCTGAAAATTAGTATCTGATTTGTCACAACATGAAATAAATAGCTGAATTTGTGTAAGTGGAATTACTTTAGGTCTGTTCTAGAATCCAGAGTTTTTCTAGTTATACAAAGACCAAGGGAGAGGATAGAGAGAGAAAGAGAGTGTGTGTGTGTGTGTGTGTGTGTGTGTGTGTGTGTGTGTGTGTGTGTGATCGATCATTAACGCATCCTACCGTGTCTCCTGGCTGTGGACGCATCACTGACACACGATCATATCCTTTCCTTAGCAGGACCCACAAAGCATCGAGTTTTCCCTGAAATAAAACAAATGCAGCAAGATTACATATGAAACCAGACGAGTGGCCAGCCACTGAAGACATGTAGAACTTTCCAAGCTTCCTCAGTCATGTGAACAACACAGCACCGGCAATATGGTTGTGACGGGATTAGTGACTCCCCAGTCCTAAATTCAAAATTTGGGCTTCATGAAAGTTGGAGAAGAGACACACAACAGAGGACCAGGTGCTCATGAAAGAGACAACCTGAGAACTGAGTGCAGCCCCAAATTTGCAAACACAAAGCCAATCAGCCTCTTGGCTTTTGTCCTTATCACATTTCTGGGGATGTCCTCACACCACAAATAAATTCTTTCAACTTTCACTGAAGTTTTTCTTCCAGCTTGGTGTCCAGAATTCATAAATGAAGACAATGATGACAAATTCAGGAAAATTACTAAAAAGTGTTGACAGGGCAAGACCAATTAAGGGCCCCTGGGATGGATGCAGATCTCTGGCCCTCTGCTAGGTTCACTCGGCAGCTAAAACTTACTCAGGAGCCCCAGGCTTGAAAGACAAATTGCCCAATATCATAGATTACCAAAAATCACAACCCCTTCGGGGTCATTTAATTCTCCCAGCAGTTCCAAAGAGTTGTGGGGAGGAAACGAAGGGTCAAAGAGATCAAATAACTTGCCCAAAGGCACACAGCTTGTGAACTGGAGAGCTGTGATCGGAACCCATGTCTGTCTAATTCCAAAGCTCACGTACTTTCTATTACACCAACTACAGTGTCTTCTTCATGTAGAGCTCCTGGCTGGAGTGCTTTACTTTAGATCCTTTAGAACAGGGTTTCTAAACTGGGGGTGGCAACCCTTCAAGCCTTCAAGAAATCAATTTTGTGTGTTAGGACCAGAATTTTTAAGAAATAAAACAGAAAAGAAAATATTAGAGTTAATTGCACATGTTGAGGTAATATTATTTTCAGAATAATATTTATCAGAATAAATATTAAAATAATAAATATAAAATAAATTAGAAAGATAAATAATATTTATCAGAAGAATTTGTTTCAGTTAAACGTGTATGGGTGTGTGTGTTGGGGAGGAGGGCGTATGCTGGGCCAGGATGTAAAATGTATTTCCTACTGGGGTTGTAGGAATGCTTGAAAACACTGATCTAGAAAGGGTCTTTGACTGATAGTGCTGAAAAGGCTGGGGAAGTCTAGAGAGTTTAAGTTCCTCAACACAAAGCATTTACAGTGGCAGTGTTAATTCAAGAATCATCTCCAAGACTTCATGTTCTGAAATTATTTTCTTGTGGATAACATACACATAAAAAAACCCTGTGTTCTTGAACCTTTATCAACCGTTGTTCGAGTTCTTGTAGGTTAAACTTTGTCTTGCCAAGTGTAGTGTTTCTCATCTGTTTTGGCAAGGAATTTACAAAAGCCCTTAAAAATATTTTGAAATGCCTTTAGAATACTGGGTAGAATGACTGCTGTGTTCAGCATGGTTTTCTGCATTAAACAGTTTCAATCATCAGCTAAATGTTTTCCTTTAAGGTTCTTTGGGATAAGCATTTATATTTCAGGACATAACCAGGTGGATTTCCTGGATGAATGCCTCTTTTTCTTTTTCTTTCCCTTTTTTGAAGGGGGCAAGGGACTCCAAGCGTCCAGCTTTATAAATCAGCCCACCCACGGTGTTCTGCGAGCTAATCACTCAACTCCTTGACAAATGAGGAGCAATGAGATGGGGCTGAAAGAAGAAAATTTGGCTGTTGAAGAAGCGTATTAATTAATTCAGCAGAAATTTAAAGCTACATGCATAGCAAAACAGCAGAAACCACCTTGATGTATAATAGCAGGAGAATGGGGAGTGAGTCATGTTTCTTTGTGGCAGCAGATCACAGTGTAGTGTTTAAGCACAAAGTGACTGAAGTCAGACTGCCTGGGTTTGTATTCTGGGTCTACCCCCGACCAGCTCTGCAGCTTGGACAAGTGATTTCATCTTCCCAAGCCTCATTTTTCTCACCTTTAAAATGGAGATAATAATACTGTCTACTCTATAGTCTTCTTACAAGATTTAAAATTAAATACTGAAGTTAGGAACTTGTCTCATAGAAAGTACTCATTAAATCTTATCTGTGAGCATGGTAGTCATTAAAATGATCATTTGGGAGGATCTGTAGAAAAATGGAAAAGAATGTAAAGCAGAGTGTAGGAATCCAATAATTTGAACTACACAGCACGCATCTGTCTATCCTCTATTCATCCTGTGCGCCTCCAATCCCATTTTCCCTTACACCAAGTCACAGTTTTTATTCCTCTTCAGCACGCTTCTGCCCCAATTATGCCACCAAAGCTGCTCCCACTATGGCCGCCATGGCATCCTGATTGCCAAATGCCTTGATGCTCATTTTACTTGATTCTTCTGAGAGATCTGCTGTGCTGGCCTCTCCCTTCTGGACACTCTCCCTTGGCCTCTGTGCCATCAGCCTCTGCCTGACCCCTCCTGCCTCTCCCATCAGTGCTTTTCAGCTTCTTTGGCTCCTCCTCCTCTGCCTACACTGCACATGGTGGTGTTCTCTTTGGCCCTCTTCTGTTCTCATCCCTTGGGCTGAGTGTTCTCATTCAGCCTCACGGATAGTCACCTTCAGCTTAGTCTTCTCTGGAGCTCTCGATCTGGATATCCATTTACCTACCAGATCTTAAACAAACATCACAGATTGAGTCAACTTGCTTCTCCCCAAACCTGCTCCTCCTTTCGCATACCCTGTCTTGGTTCATGGCACCACCATCTATCCAGACGGACAAGCTGGACACCAGAGGATCATTCCACCCTCGTCTCTCTCTGCCACCTCTTTACATCCAACATCAACCGTGTCTTGTGGATGTTCTCTTGGTAACAGCCGCCTCTGCCTGTCCACCTGTGTCCCACCATCTCCATGGCCCCTGCTTCAGCCCAGGCCCTCATCATCTGTCACTCATTCTGTGAATAGTTTCCCAATGAGCCTTTTTTTTTTTTTTTGTCTTTTTTCGTGACTGGCAACGGATCGCAACCCTCAGTGTCACATCCGTACCAGACCGGGACCGGCAACGGGATCGCAACCCTCGGTGTAGCCCCCGCTCCTCGCTCAGCCAGTGAGCGGCCGGTCTGTATGTGGGATCCGAACCCTCGGCGGGAGCGCCACCGCGCTTCCCAAGCAGCGCACTGTAGCAGTGCGCCACCGGGCCGGCCCCTTCCCAATGAGCCTTTTACTTCAGGCTCCCTGTCCTCTCTCCTTCTATTGTTTAATAACAGATTCTATTGCTAGCCCATATGGATGCACTGCAATTACTAAAATACTCCATGAAACATCTTACTAGCAGTATGAATTTGGGCAGGTTACCTAACCTCTCTATGCCTTGGCTTTTCCATCTGTAAGATGGGAGCAGTAGCAGTTCCCACTTTTGAGAGTTGCATGAAATGAAAGTTTTCGTGCGTGGAAAGCACTTGGAGCTGTGCCTGGCTAGCTGGCTGAGTTTTATCCAGGTGACCTGCTGTCACAGGGCTCTTCTGGCCAAGGTGAGACTAGCTAGTTCCAGTCATATCCTCAGCATTCTGAGTTCTGACTGTCCCACAGATGAACCCAGAGTCCCCAGTCTGTGGCACAGAGAAAAATCTGGGTAATCTACACAACCTACACCTCTTTCTACTCCTACATCAGGTAGCTTTTTATGCAAGAGTTGAAGTAAGCTTTAGAAAAAGAGTGTTTACAGCCAGGTAAGCAGAGGATAAAAATAACTCTTTTAAAGTTAAAGAGAAGTGCAAAGCCTTGATTTTCTGGATGTCAGCAAATGCCTGTCATTTAAAGGTAGTAGCTAATGGGCTTACGAATAACATCCTTTTGGGGCTAGAAGTGTCTCAGGGAATTCTTCCAACCAGTTCCTGGGCTTTACCTAAAGCCTGGGAGGAGCCTGCCAAGTTGACTCTACTTTATTTAGCTCAGATCTGGGTGTCCCTCACGCACAAGCCTCTCCACAGGGTGCCTTTAAGACACTGGTCCTCATTCCCCAGGCGAAATGCTCAACTGCTTCTGTGAAGCTAAGACAAAGATTTCTCCACAAACCTCGGAACCCTTCACCAGAGCATATGAGCTGACATTTAAAAATAGTCTTTCATATGAAGTTGACACAGTTTGACTATAAAATGAGAAATTTACCAATTCCAGGCTCCCAAACCATATCTCAGCTTCAAATCCAATCCACAGACTTTCAATCCATAAAGGCAGACAAACTGCAAGTTCTGTGCAAACTCTAGCTTTCGATTCTTTCTAAACAATAAGACTGTGCCGGGAATGTTTATGTGGCCTTCATTCAAAGCACCCTGGAGCATGGGTGTTTGTGGTTGGTTTCCTCTTTATTTTTGCCAGGCAGCAGCTGTGTCTTTTCTTCTGGTTTGTCTGCCTAATCTAGTTGGAAGTTAGAGATTGAGAACCTGAGGCTAGTTCAATTTAAAAGGGCCTGAATTTTTACAACTTGAAATACATGGTAAATAGTGTGACCCAGGCTTCCCCTCAAATGAAGTAAATTAGTGGATAAAGTTGGAAACTTTCCTACACCCCCACCCACACCCCCACACAGGGTAATTTTTGTTTTGCCTTTTTTTTTTTTCTTTTGGTTTTTCTTTAAGAAAAGTTTGGAACCATTCTATAAAGTAGCCAGAGAGAGACAAAATCTGTTCAACATCAACAGCACATCTGACAACACTTAATGCTCCGGTATGTCTTACTTGGCCACATACAGCTTCATGACCGAATGCTGCTTGACTTCAGGGTCAAGGTGTTTAAGGCCAGGACGACAGGTTGGCTGGACAGGAAATGAACAGAAGACCACCCCCCTCTCATTCCCTGCAAGTAGAACAGGCTGCCCCTCCCCTTTCACAGCCTGGCTCTCTTGCAGAGAACAGTGGTCTGCCTGGCAGACCAGAGTCTGGCTTGTGTCCTTTAGCTGTCATTTCTGTCATTTCCAGTCACGTGGAGGAGCTACTGGAGAAGGAGAAAAATGGTTTCTCTGAAGGCTGCAAGCCTTCTGACAAACCTGAAAACAGTTCTGGTTTTAATCTATCTGGTGGCCATATATTGGGGCATGACTCATCTTGTCTAAAATCGTCAGTCCCAATTTAATGAGAAGCAGGGGTGTTGCAAATCCAGAGGGCGAAAACCGAGCAAAGGAAAATGCAGGCTAAATATCAGGGAAAATTTCCTGATCGCGAGCCTGGAATGAGCAAGGAGGGAAATGTGGTCATATGGTCAGTGCCCTAACTTAGATGGGGGACAGTGGGCAGAGAAGGCCCATTGTGGACCTCTTCCCTCTGTGAGCTCCCGCTGGGTTTGCCTGGCAAAAATGCTCACCTGCTCTCAACTCTATTTCATGGAATGCATGAGAAAAGTGAGGTCAGTGCAACACATTTAAATATGTATGTGATTCTGGCCACTTCGGCTGGGGAACTAGGAGTCTCCCCAGTACCTGCTGAGGGTTTTGTGCTAGGTGAGGTGTTCTTCCTGTTTAAAGTGGGGATGGCAGGTGGGCAGAGAGTGGACGGGTCGCTCTCCATGAGCTGCCTGCACCCCTAAGTTCTGTGGGTTCCTTCTGCTCCTTCGTAGCCCCCTATCCCCAGCAGTGGCTGTGGTCCTACAGGGCAAGGGTCTGCAAACCTTTTCTGTCCGGGTCGCTCTCCATGAGCTGCCTGCACCCCTAAGTTCTGTGGGTTCCTTCTGCTCCTTCGTTGCCCCCTATCCCCAGCAGTGGCTGTGGTCCTACAGGGCAAGGGTCTGCAAACCTTTTCTGTCAAGGGCCAGACAGTAAAGATTTTAGGCTTTGCAGGCCGAAAGGCAAAAGGGAGGATATTATATAAGTACTTCTATAACCATTTAAAAGTATAAAAACCATTCTTTGCTTGAGGTCATATAAAAACAGCTCTTGGGATGAATTTAGATGGCTGACTCCTGCTCTGTAGCCACAGTTCCCACTGGGTGGTCTCTTCTCCGGGGCTGTGGCTCTTACTGGGCTCTAGTAACACCATTTCCCCCTGGCTCTGCAGGTCTAGGAGTGTACCAGCTCCTGCTGTTGCTGGTCCCTGGGGGCCTCACCAACCACCCATGTGGACTCCCCTGACCCTGTCCACACCTGTGTTAGTTCATCTCTTTTGTGTGCACCTTCTGTTTCCTGCCAGGACCATGACAATCCAAGGAGAAGTCTCAGAAAAGGGAAGCAGAGTTCATGGCTCTGCATGAGGCTAGACACATTGCCCAAGGCCTAGCAAACGTCTGCAGGCATTGTGGCGAGAATGGTGCTCTGCAGGGAGCGTGCGTTGTGCTACACAGTGTGAACGTTCAAGTTCTCCTAGCAAGTCTGCCCTTCTTGTTCTAGACAAAGACGATACATTACTACTTTCAAATTCCTTTGGGCTTCTCTTCTCCTTGTTCTGCCCTTCCTTCACCACTCAGCCAAGATACTCCTAAGATGACCTCTTTTTCTCCCCTCTCTTCAAAGAGATGGCAAGAAGAATGTCACCTTCCTGGATGGAATGTCCCAAAGTGATCTGTGTGGTCTGACTGGCGTGACTCTCTGGGAGTAGTTTCATAATTACATCCCATGCCTCAGCTCTTTAATAAGGGATGGTGGAGTCTCTCCTCTGTGCCAGGTACAATGCTGTTTATTGGGGATTCAAAGCATACTTGGTGCCTGCAGGAGGTCAAATCTGGTAGACAGCAGGATCGTAAACATGAGTAATCACACCATTGGGCTACTTATACATCTCCTACCTAGCAGAAGTAGCTGAGCAAATGTTGGCATGAGCTGTTCCATCAGGCAAGAGGGGCATCCATGCTTTCTCATGTCCTAGTGAGGGAGTCCTGCCGAGGAGCCTAGCAAGTCCACTAGCATCATAGATCTTTTCTACCTAGCCTTTCAGGTGACTCCATGACACTCAGATCCCCGAGCACTTAACATTAATCCAGCAGTTGTGTTTGTGGTTAACATGGACTCAGTGTGAAATTTAATGTGGGTCTCCTTGCTGACACTCCTGACAAATCACCGAGGTATGATCATGGCCTCTTTGTTTTAATAATCCAGGCACCATAGTTCCTGCCCTCAGGGAACCTCTAATGGAATGCTGGCTGGAACCTTTGGTGACAACTTCTTAACTAGACTATTAAAACCCAGATAGCTGGACCCCACCCTCACAGCTTCTGATTCAGGAGATCTTGGGTGGGGTCCAGGAAAGTGCATTTCTAACAAGTTGATGCTGATGCTAAAGCGCCAGAGCCAGGACTGTGGAGGGAGTGATCATTGGGGGAGTTTGGATGTGAAATCTGAAAAGGGAGGCCTTGGGGATTGATGAGAAAAAGTGGGCAAGATGTGAAGGCCAGTGTGCTGTTGGAGGTCTTTGGTGAGATCCTGAGTCACTAGGGCTCAGAAACTGTATTTTTTTTTTTGTCTTTTTTTTTACTTTTTCCGTGTCTGGCAACGGATCGCAACCCTCAGTGTTGCCCCCGTACCGGACCGGGGACCGGCAACGGGATTGCAACCCTCGGCGTTGCTCCCGCGCCTCGCTCAGCCAGTGAGCGGGAACCGGTCCGTATGTGGGATCCGAACCCTTGGGCGGGAGCACCGCCGCACTTCCCAAGCGGCGCACTATCCAGTGCGCCACCGGGCTGGCCCAGAAACTGTATTTTTAAAGGGCTCCCAGGTGATTCAGATACTTAGCCAGGTTTGAGAACCTTTGCATATTTAGCATCTGGCAGTGCCTGGCACATAGTAGGTATGTGACAAATACTCATGGAATTGATGCTAATTCCAAGTGCGTGTTGGGAATGTTTTTCAATTTCTAAATGTATTTGTCAATATGTTTATTTATTTTATAAAACTCAGTCCTAAGCCACCAGTTAATAGAGGAATAACATGCTCTCAAGCAGAAATTGGATTCTTTAAACAGAATTAATGTTCTCTCAATGTCCAAGATTACAGAAATGAAAATTTAGCTACAACCAAAGATGTTTTGTTAGTCACAAGGTATGGGTTCCTGAAAACGACATAATAGAAAATCCCCTTTTTCTTCATCTCTGAGAATCCACTGGCTCCTTCCTGTCTGCCGCATACACATGCCACTGCATGTTCCCCATTAGAAAATAATTAGAAGCAAACAGCTGTTAGTCAAGCAAGCTGCATCTCGCCCACATCTCTTCAGAGTTCAAACCATTGCCCCAGGGTGGCTTATCTTAAAAAAGAATCTCACAGATTTAAACATGGCAAACCAAAATGGAGATGTATTGTAATTCGGGTGAGCCTGAGCTGGCTTGACTGATTGCCAGTAAAGTTTCATTCCACTGTTTGAAATGGTGTTTCTTTTGATTTTGTAGAAGGGCTGCACTAAAACAGCAAATAACTCAGTGCTAATGATGAAAGTTTTTTTCTGTTGCCATTGGAAGAGGGCAAGGCTGTGTGTGTGCGTGCGTAGGGAGTGGTGGCAGGAGCTGGCTCTTATACTGAGGATTTCACTCGAGGCCTTGGCGTTGGCCCAGTTCTGTTGGCAGTGTGGGATTGGAGGCTGTGGCCTTGAGTTGGGGCTTTGGGTTCTAGACTTCGGCAGAGCAAGGACTTTGCCTATCTCAGCTTTCTCCTGTATGAAATAAGAGAATAAGGACAGATTATGTCTAGACTCTTTTCAGCTATGATTTCTAGTGTTCTCTGACAACTGGCATAGTGCAGATGCTTAAGAGCAAGGCTGAAGAGCAAGAGTGTGGACTGAATCACACAAGTTCAAAGCCATTTCCACCCAAGAGGAATAGAAAAGATGCCTTCAGGAAGCATTAACTGCCTCTTATGTCTGAAACTTCCCAATAAGCCAACGAGGATTTTAAGATTTGGATCTGTAGGGGAAACAAAGACAGTGGAGAAAAAAGGAGATTTGCTCATTGCCAGGAAGAGTGAGTCCTAGATCCATGGCCAATGTGATCCACAGTGTGCTGTGGTACACTGGCAGGAGGCTCTGATAACGGGGAATGGGCTTATGTTATGGCAAGAGGAATAGAAATTAGCCTCAAGGAGAATGCTTCCGCTTTTGTTAGACAGTGGACTGCCTACTCAGTGAGGTTGTGAGATGCTATGGAAATCTATAATCACCTGCTGGGGTGACTACTGAAGTCACCTGACTCATAGTCCATGCTCACTCCACTACTCTGCCACCAGGATTTTAAAAAAGCCTATTATTCACCTTTGATAATGTGGAAATTGAGAGAGTAATCACTTGTACTTCTAAGTCCATCATTTTGGCAATTTGTTCCCCTGTGATAAACTGGACTTCAGTTTGGTGTTTTACCATGTCAAAAGATTCTGCTTCTTACTAGGTAAGTGTTTTATCAGGAGTGATGATGGATTTTTGAGTAGAGAGAGACATACCTTGATCGGAGAGTACCACTTCTGGGGGGAAGAGGGCCGCCGCATATTGTTGTTGAGATTTCGGGGTTCAGGAAATTCGTACTCCTGCTCTGGCATCTTGACCCTTGCATTCTTTGCCTTTTCCAACTTAGCGCCTTCTTCCGTGGAACCCTTTTCTCCCCAACGAACCTGAAATAAATAGAATACAATGCAACAAAATGACAGAATAAAATATGCTTCCCCTCGAGAATGGGAATCACACACGCATGTGTGATGTATATCCCAAGTGCAACCCTATCCTCAGTTCCTCTGGGTTTTGAGGACCAGGGAAGAGGGGAGGTGTGGAAAAGGGAGAGGGGAAGGGCTGAAGGAGCAGAGAGAGCGAGCCTTGCGGACTCGTATGTAGGGGAGGATTTGTCCAGGCAGCAGGCACAGCACATGCAAAGGCCTTGCAGTTTTAGGTAAGAACTTTGGATTTTAATCCTGTGAGAAAAGAAACCCTGGGCCGACCCCGTGGCTCACTCGGGAGAGTGCGGTGCTGGGGGCACCGAGGCTGTGGGTTCGGATCCTATATAGGGATAGCCGGTGCGCTCACTGGCTGAGCGCGGTGCTGGCGACACCAAGCCAAGGGTTACGATCCCCTTACCAGTCACAAAAAAAAAAAAAAAAAAAAAGA